TCCTCCTCCACCCACACTCCTCCTCCTCCTCCTCCTCCTCCTCCTCCTCCTCCTCCTCCTCCTCCTCCTCCTGCTCCTCCTGCTCCTCCTGCTCGTGCTCGTGCTCCTCCTCCTCCTCCTCCTCCTCCTCCTCCTCCTTCCTCCTCCTCCTCCTCCCCCTCCTGCTCCTGCTCCTGCTCCTGCTGCTCCTCCTCCTCCTCCTCCTCCTCCTCCTCCTCCTCCTCCTCAGGCGGCGGCCAGGGCCCTCGGCCCAGGGCAGAGCTACGCGGAGTGCGAGCCTGAGCAGCTGAGGAAGCCAGGCAGCAAGCAGGACGCCCCCGCGGCCGTGATGGTGGCGGCGCGGAGGGTCCTCGACCTCCAGACACTGCTGGCGGAGGCAAAGCAGGCCCACGAGGAGGCTTTGGTGCGAGGCCTCGTCTTCGACGTCACGGTCGACGCGACATGGGCTAGTTGAAGTCCGAGCAGCTGAAATCAGACTCGGACGCGGAGCTCTTCTGCAAGTGCGGCCGGGCGGCGCCCCCCGTCACGGGCACCCCTCGTGCTCTGCTCGTCCTGGGGCCGCGCGGGTCAAGCGGCCCTCAGGTGCTGGAAAGGCTCTCTGCGCCACTCTGAGGCCCCCTCTGTCCCCATCCCGACTGCACTGCCGCTTTGCGTTTTGCCCATTCAATCCGCCCCTCTCGCACGCCCATGCGGGCTCCCCCGCACAGCCGCACTCCGCACTGCGCTCGGGCGCTCGAGCCCACCCTGCCTCCCGCTCCACTGCCCGAGTCTCTCGCACGTGCTGGACAGCTGCAGCAGTTCTTGCCTCCGGCTCGCGCCGGGCATTAGCTGCTTCAGATCCCAGGTTGTGCCGTTCTAGTTCTTCTCACATCACACCACCACCGTTCTGCTAAGCACGTGGTAGGTGACGCCCCTTTGTGCCAGACCTCGTCCGAACCCGAATCCTCCGGATCCTGAGTTCCGACGCGTCCAGGGTGAATATGGCATCATTGGCATTCTTTTCTGTGGAGAGGCGTACCTCACCGTATCTCAGCGATCTGCCGTAGACGGTCTTGCCCTCTGTGGCTACTCTGCTAAAGCTCCACGGTGCCCACCTGCTTCATGCGGTCCTTCAAATCGCGTTAATCCACGTCGCAAGATAACTTCCTCACGCAGACATGGCTTGTAGCTGATGACGTCGGCTCGTCCATGCCTTGCCCCGCCTGCTGCCACTGCTGTCCCTTCTCGCACTCCCTGCCCGCACTGCGGCTGGCTGGCGGCGTGCGGCTGCGCTTGTTTATCGTGCACTTGTCGCGAAGCAGCACCTGCGTAGTGCAGTCTGCTCCCGCCCCGCACGCCCCGCCCTCATCCTCCTCGTCCCCCCCGTCGCTGTCCTCTCCTCCTCCTCCTCCTGCTCCCCCTGCTCCTCCTGCTTCTCCTGCTCCTCCTCATCCTCCTCCTCCTCCTCTTTTTCCTCCTCCTCCTCCTCAGCCATTTCGCGTCCGAGCGGCCCCCCCCTGCACCGGGCCCCTTGGACGATGCGGCGCGCAAACTTCGAAGTGGCGCTGCGCGCCCGAATCATGAAGAAGCAGCGCGGAGCCCCACGTCATCAGCTACAACGCTGAGATCAGGCGAGCGCGCAGCTGCCAGGATGCCCGCCCCCTCCCGCCCCCTCCTCCTCTTCGTTTCCACCCTCCTCCACCTCCTGGCAGACCGGGGCGCCAGCCGATGCGGCGCCGCGGGCAGAGTGCGGGGACAACAGAGTCGTGATCAGCTACAGCGTAGGGATCAGGCCGTGAGTGAAGACCAGCAGTGGCAGGCAGAGCTGACGCTGCGAGAAAGCAAGCAGTGGCAGCCAGAGCTGGCGCTGCGACAGGGACGAAGGCGCGGGTGGGCCACGATCAGCTACAACGCTGGGAGCAATCCGTGCGAGAAAGGGAGCGCGCTGTGGCAGCGGACGCTGGCGCTGTGCAGAATGCGCGGGTGGGCCACGATCAGCTGCAACGCTGGGAGTCGTCCGTGTGAGAAGGGGGAGGTGAAGTTAGAGCCCGATGGCCTTGGCCCTCATCCTCCCCCTGGAAGGCTGCGAGAAAGCAAGCAGTGGCAGCCAAAGCTGGCGCTGCGAGAGGGACGAAGGCGCGGGTGGGCCACGATCAGCTACAACGCTGGGAGCAATCCGTGCGAGAAAGGGAGCGCGCAGTGGCAGCGGACGCTGGCGCTGTGCAAAGTGCGCGGGTGGGCCACGATCAGCTGCAACGCTGGGAGTCGTCCGTGCGAGAAGGAGGGCCTGCGAGAAGCGGGGGGCGAAGCTGGAGCCCGAGTGTCTCTTCTAGCTAACGCCTCTGAGAACAGCGCGCGGGAGAACAGCGAGCAATGTTCTGCCGCGGCGCAGGGGGGCGCCATCCTGCGAGACGTGGGAGGCGAAGACAGAGCCCGATGTCGACAGCTACAGCGATGGATTCGGGGCAAGCCGCTGCGAGAAGAGAGAGGCAAAGCTGGAGCCAAACGTCATCTAGCTAACACCTCTGGGAACAGTGTGTGCGAGAAGAGCGCCATCCTGCGAGAAGTGGGAGGCGAAGGCAGAGCCCGACGTCGACAGCTACAGCGTTGGGATCTGGGTAAGCCGCTGCGAGAAGAGGGAAGCAAAGCTGGAGCCACACGCCATCTAGCTAACACCTCTGGGAACAGTGGGTGCGAGAAGAGCGCCATCCTGCGAGAAGTGGGGGGCGAAGGCAGAGCCCGACGTCGTCAGCTACAGCGTTGGGATCTGGGCAAGCCGCTGCGAAAAGAGGGAGGCAAAGCTGGAGCCAAACGTCACCTTCCTAGCCACCACAATGTGCTGGGAGAAGCGGGAGGCAAAGTTGGAGCCCGACTCTATCTAGCTACACTCGCTAGAAGCAGCGCGTGCGAGAAGTGCAGGGGCCAACGTACGGGCTCTGGCGCGAAAGGGCAGGGCACGGACGAGCTACCCTCAGTTACAGTTCAGAGATCAGCCCGTTGTGCGAGAGCAGGAGTGGAGGAAACCCACTCGTGCGAGAAGGGGAAAGCAAGCAGGCAGTGGCAGCGGGGCTGCCCAAGCGTACGTGCGAGAAGCAGGCAGTGGTAGCGTGCTGCCACGGCGTGCGAGCTCTGGGCCAGCGACTCGCGAGAAGCGGGCGGCGAGGCTGGAGAAAAATTTAGTCTCGAGCGAGTTCATTTTAGCTACAACGCTGAAGTGGGGGCTGGTGCGAGAAGGCGAACCGCCGCGGCCAGGCGGCCCACGGCACGAAACCGCAGGGAGTCGTGATCCGTTTTGGCCCGCAGAATCCGCAGAATCCTCCTCCTCCTCCTCCTCCTCTTCCTCCTCCTCCTCCGCCTCCTCCCCCTCGCCTCCTCACCCTCTTCCTCCTTCTCCTCCTCCTCCGTAGCCAGAGTGGCTCAAGCACCGGCTCGAGACTTGTCCGTCGCATTTTTGCTCTCGGATGGGGCCTCAGCGAGTCCGGGCCCTGCACCGTCACGGGGCGCTTGGGGCGCAACGTGGCAGCCGCACGCAGTGGTGCAGCTTTCCGCGTCGGCGAAGCAGGTCAAATGTGGGCGAGTGTGATTTCGGCCTGGTACTGCAGCTTCACCTGTTAAACTTAGGATGTTTTCGCTGGGGCCTGCTTCAGCTGTTCTTTCTTTGGTAGGCAGTCTCATGGTGCTGTTCCTTTGGTTCCTCACCTTAGCTCTGCGGTCTCTGTTATACAATGACGGGAAGGAGCCTGCGGTGCCAAGTCAGTATGTGCTGAGGTTTCTGTTGTTGACTTTGTTCGCCCAATCTGGGTATGTATTTCAAACCTTTGGGACGTAAACGCTGGAGCTTGCATCAATCATGGATTCCTTTGTTATCCTGGCAATCCATGTTGGTGCTGTTTCGTTCCTTTTCCCCAGGGCTCGCGGGTTCCTATTATACCGTGCCGGGGTGAAGGCCTTGAGTGCCAAAGGCTGCTTTGATATTGTTTTGGTCGGCTGCTCGTTCGTGCTCAGTTGGCACTCAACATCACTGCCCTCGTGCGCTTGAGCATGGCTCACTTGCTTCTTGTCTGTGTACCGTGCATCGTGTCATGCTCGTGCAATCGACTTTGTGGGTTTCGCGCTCCTTGGTGGATTTGGGGGTGGTTTCTGCGATGTGGCTGGGCGCCGCGGTCTCCGCACATGCCTGAGCTTTCTGCGTGGGCGTCATCTTCCTCGTTCTGTCACTCGTGGCGTGTTTCTCACAGAATTTAACTTGTATCCGCTCTTGGCGGCTGGGCCAGGACGGGGTGAACATCTGCATGGTGGAAAGACTCATTCGGCGCGGTATTACTTTGTTTCCGCTGTGCTCCACCAGCTGCTCGGCTGGCTCCACGGGTGGGCCTCATCCTCTTCGTCGCCGCGGTGCTCATACAATTCAGGGGATGCTATTTATATCACTCTTATGATTGCGGCAATCCTGGCAATGCTCGTCGTCGTCGTCGTCCTCCCTCTCCTGCTCCTCCTGCTCCTGCTCCTGCTCCTCCTCCCTCCCTCCCTCCCTCCTTCCCTCCCTCCGTCCCTCCCTCCCTCCCTTGGCGGCGCGCACAAGGGGGTAGAGGGGGAAAGCTTCTTAGAAGGAGGCTGCTTCTTAGAAGGTGCTGGCCCTAGATCGAGGAGCGGGAGCAAGAGCCAAATCATCGATGATTAGGAGGAAATGGGAATGGGAGCAAGAAGGGGAGGAGCGTGGCAGGAGGGGGCCCCAGGATCTTCAGCTCAGAACCGTACTGAACGAGGGCCAAATCTTAACGCGACGACATCTGTGCATTCCCACTGCCCCCTGGCCGAGCCCATCCTGAACCCAGCAGCGGTGCATACGCCACGCCCTCCTGGCTCGGCCAGGAAGGCGTATGCACAGCTCCTGGGCCCATGGAAGGTCCTGCTAGGGGGCAGCGGGTGCGCATAGATTCCGTCGCCCCGGATCTCCGCCCCTGCGTGCTGCCCAGGGGGAGGGCCCTGGCAAGGACGGGCCGCGCGCGCAGCGCCTCCGCCCGGGCATGTGCCGTCCAGCGACGCCGTGAGCCACTCCTCGCCTCTGGGAGGGCGCCAGCGGAGCGACGACGGAGAACGGGCCTCACGCGAGATGGCACGGCGACCTTGCGCCGCGGCCTACGTGGGCCGCCAGCGCGGCATGCCGCATGGGGGACGAGGGCGCTGACGCGAGACCTTACGCGGGCAGCTTACGCGAGCATATCGGCGCAGACGCAGAAGAGCCCAGATTGGAATCGAGAAGTCGGATCGGCGATCGACATGAAATGACATGAATCGGATCGGCGGAAATCGGTAGTCGAGTAGGAAAAGTCGAATCGGCGGAAATCGGCAACCTTGTACGCGGCCAGTCCGAAGTCGGAACCCCAAACTCGGAATCCCAGGTCGAAGCGCATCGGAATCGGAATCCATCGAAATCGAATCGACCCGAACCGGGGGAAGCGAAATGAGCCCTGCAGACGTCCCCGTTTTCGTGCGCCGCTCCGCTGAAGGAAGCCCGCGGCCGATGCCGCCCTGGGCCCGGCCAAGGGGCCCGGGAGGACGCTGCGCACGCCGCGTGGGGGACGAGGGCGCCGCCGCGAGACCTCGCGAGGGCAGCCTGCGCGAGCCTATCGGCGCAGACGCCCCCCGCTTTCGCGCGCCGCTCCGCTGGAGTCCGCTGGAGAAGCCTGCGGCCGAGGCCGCAGGCTTCTCCAGCGGCACGGCACGGCCACGGAGGGCGGGGCGCCCCGATTCCCACGCAGAGGCCGCAGCCAGGGGGTGGAAGCAGACGGGGCTGGAGGAGGAGGAGGAGGAGGAGGAGGAGGCGGAGGAGGAGGAGGAGGAGGAGACGAGCGTAGGGAGGCGGCGCGGGTCCCAGCCTAGCGGCGGCCGAAGGCGACGTCCGTGTCGGACGTGGTGGAGCGCGCGCCGCGGCCGGCAGGCCGAGGGCGAGGCGGCACAGGTGCCGCACGTCGTGGGTCACTTCGAGCACGTGGGGACGAGGGAGAAGGAGAGGAGCAGAAGGAGAGGAGCAAGCATCAGCATCGGCCGCGCGCAGTAGCGAAGGACAAAAGGGGGGGACACAAGAGAGCGGCGGTGATGGCTAGAGGAGGAAGCAGAGGGCAGGCGCTGAGAGAGAGAGAGGGGAACGAGCTAGCGGCGCACTCACCACAGGGCGAATGGAGAATGTTCGTCTCGACGGCATGGCACGAGCTGGGACCGAAACAATCGGAGTGGGAGGGGGAGGCAACGGAGGGGACGGAGACAGAGGGTCCCCGTCGACAGAACCTAGGACCCGGAGGAGTCGCGATCGCCTTCGACGGGGTGGTCGGCGAACCGACACGCATAGAGACCACTGGAGAGGCCACCTCAGGTGCCTATGGCTCAGAGCATACCGACGACGATGAAGACACTGCGGGCGTCAGACGTGGGGACGGTGTTGGCGACGCAGATGAGGTGTTCGACGATGAGCTGGGAGAAGCAGAGGACTCGGAGCACATGGAGGGCAATGAGGACACCACAGTCGTCAATCGTAGCGACGGCGTCGGCGACGCCGACCGGGTACTTGAAGAGGAGGAGGGCAGCGACGAATGCGAGCGCCGCCTCGGCCGAAGAGCGAACCGCTCCGCCTGCGAAATGTGCGAAGGCCGCGCCATCTGCATCGAGCGCACGCCAGCCAATGCGCACGAGTGTCGCACTGCCGCGCCCAAAGGTCACAGCTGGACTGTCTTGGCGGTGTGGTACACCGAATAAGCGGCCGCCAAGCAACCGCATGCTGGAAGCGACGGCGGAGCGAGTCCCCATGGCAGAGGAACAGGCCGAGCGAGAGCCGCTCGAAGGGCGTCGTGCATGGGGCGGCATCTGGCAGAGTGTCGTAGTGAGTCAAAACGAAGATCGCAGCCAAAGGCACAGCAGCGAAGACCCTCCACATGTGCAGTACGAGCCGAAGTCAACGATCCATCAACCCAAGTACGTTGGCATGCCTAGGCCCAAGAGAACGGGCATCGACACAAAGTAGACCCAACCGCATTCCAGTCCAGTTGCGTAATGGCAACAGCGTGGCGTGGAAGTAACTTGGAGAAGCTCTTCGTTAACATGGTGGACACAGGAGCGCGGCACGGCGAAAGGCCAGAAGAGCGCGATGAGCAGGCCGCTGAGGCCGCGGACGACGGCCCAGTACCGAAGCGAACTCCTCAACGGCCCAGTACCGAAGCGAACTCCTCACGAACAGCATCTGCGGCAGCCAACGCGAGAGGTGACTGCGCTCCAGACGCAGCACTGTGCAAGGTCTCCGCGAGCGACTCGGACACTCAGAGCTCGGGCACAGCGCACCTGACTGCAGCATGCCTAATGTGCGAAGGTCATCACCGTGGTCGACGACGTACTGCTGGAGGTCCGCGAGGATCCTCTCGTGCTCGGGGAACGTGACGACAGCCGTACGGGTCAGCGTAGCAGCGTAGAGCAAATCCCAGCGTGGGACTGTTGGACCGCCCCAAGATTCCAATTGAGCCCAATCATCCTGGGAGAACGCCCCAAGAACAATACGGAACGTCTGCGCTAAGACCACCAATCCCCATCGAGCCATCTCCGCGGGAAGCTGACGAAACTGTGCTTCAATAGGAAGTGTCGGGACAGCTCGAGTGCGGTACAAGTGGGCGGACACACTTGGTGTAATCGAGCCTCTTCCAATAGCTTGAGCCCGAAGACGAAGCTTCGCCATCGGATCATCCCAATAAGCTGCCGGCCTAGCACCAGGGCCCATGACGATCCCCAAGTATAGTAGCGTGGCGACCACCTCAGAGCAAGCCCATTCGGGGACCACAGACGCGATGATAGAGGACACGGTGGAGGCCAGCTGGGGGCTGAATGGGCCTGAGAGAGGAACCACAGAGCACTTCGCAGCCTTCAGAATGAGATTCGCCATCGAGGAGGCCCCGTCCATCACGCGCTTCACGTGCTTCAGGTCGGTGATGCAAGCCAACTCCCCCAATGTCGTCCGCGCAGGCCCGCGTGAGGCCCTCGGACGCCATGTCAATGGAGTGCAGGAGGTCGTAGAGAAAAGCCGAGGTAGCCAACGCATGGAGGGCCCCAGACAGCCCCCATCCTTGAATAATGCCACTGCGGACCCAATACAGAGGCTGAAAGGTACCACCCACAAAAGCCACACCAACAATCGCTGTATAGAGAAAGCTGATGAAGTCTTGATTCAACGACGGGAAGGCCTGCCCAAAGTCAAACAAGAACAGGATCGGGATGCGCCCCGGCAGGGACAGCGACAGCTGGCGGGCACGGCAATCGAGCTCGAGAATATTCAACCCAGAGTTCCGACGTGGCACAAAACCTCGCTGGCTCACAGGGACAACACAACGGTCTGCAAGGCAGGCACGAGGGCACGGTTGACCACTGCAGACAAGACCTCCACATCTGCGTTACGGAGCCCAAGCACACGGACCTGCTCCGCCAGCCGAGCACACGGAGGAGGTGGAGGAGGAGGAGGAGGACGAGGAGGAGGAGGAGGAGGAGGAGAAGGAAGAGGAGAGGGAGGAAGACGACCACGCGCCCTGCGTCGCCATTCGGCAGCCGCGCCACGGAAGGCCCGCTGGGCCCGTCGCTCGTCATCCCGCTCTTCAAGCATCAGCGCACAAATCTGCACAAAACCATCGCCGATCGAGCCACGGCCGTGAGCATCGCGCTGCATCGTCGACGCATCGGCGATGTGGCGCGATCCCCCGACTCCACCCATTCGGACCCCCCTTGCTGGGCGGCCTGGAGCCCTGGCCCAGCCCAGCCAGGACCGGCGCAAGTCTGTACGGCCCCACATGTCCGACGATGCCTTCGGCTCCGCCCGCGACCTGTAGAACTCCCGGCCGCTTGTCCGGGAGAATTTTTTTGTCCTAGGATCCCGTCCGGCGCAAGTATACAATGTGTGAGGGGACGGGTAGATCCCGGACCCCTCCTGGGGCGCGTTCTGACCAGAATCTTGAGGCGATACATCGCCGATAGATCGGCGATAGGCCTTCGATAGCGAATCCGTTCCTTCCTGGGCGATTTGGGGTCGATGCGCTCCCCCCTCAGCCCATCCATCCCCAAAGTTGCCTCTGAGTGAGATCTCTTCTTGCATGCGTTCTGACCAGAATTCCAAGGCGAACCCAACCGCGGCGGCCCTGAACAACGGAAACGAGGAGAGGCTCTGGCATCGGCAATACATCGTCGATCGATCGATGACACCCCCGATGACAAAACCGCACGCTCCTGCGAGGTGTGGGCTATCGGGCCTTGATCTGCGATCGCTGGGCGATTGGGGGTCGATGCATCCCCCTCCCCCTCGGACAGCTGGCCATCGCTCGGACGTCCATTCCTTGTGTTTTCTTCGGTTTCGTGCGTGGTTTTTTCGCCGAATGATCAAGGATGCTCCTCAATGGTCCTCGCCGAAGGAAAAATGCACACGTCCGAGCGATGCCACGACAGGACAGGAAGAAGCCGCGCCTAGACGGCGCATCGGCAGAGCATGACAAGTTGCGCACAAGGCCAGGCGCACTGGTGCGGAGAGAGTCAGCACTGCTCATCTCCCCCCTTGGCCCAATTATCCCTCGTGGTCCTCGTCGCCCAGCCTTCGGGCCATAGCTCGGGCCTCTGAAGGCGACTCGGGACGACCTGGGCGCCCCCGGAACGCTCTCGGCGAGGCGCAGCTGCCGGAGAGCATCCCGAAGCCGGGAAGCCGCCCACGACCGACGAAAACGCGCGGGAACCTCGAACCTCGAACCCGTCGCTCCCGCCTGGCCTTGCCCACCTCTACCCCCGCCTTCATGTTGCTCCCCCCCCTCCGCCCCTGAGCCTACCTTCCACCCCCCCCTCCTCCCTGAGCCTATCACACCTCTAGTGTTGCCCCGCTACCCCCCCGAGAACCTGCGAAGACGCCCGAAAACCTGGCACCTACAACCTCGAAGCCAACGCTGCCCCTGAGCGTAGGGCTCGGGGACGCACTGACCCGGGTCAATGCAGACCCGGGTCAGTCGGGCCTTGCAGGATCCTGCAGGATCCTGCAAGATCCTGCACCCAGACCCGGGTCAATGCTGCCCTGGTCCTGGATCCGGCGCTCTGGCTGACCCCCGTTTGCATTGACCCCGAAGGGCGCCCTCCGATCGCCGTCCGGCGAGAAGGCGGCGGCCGTCACGCCCCCCGCGTGGCCCCGCAGCACGCGCAGGCACTCCCCGGAGCCCGCGTGCCACAGCCTCGCCGTGCCGTCCGCCGAGGCCCGGAGGCGACGAGGGGGGGCGAATCGCCCCGGGGGTGGGGAGCAATGCAGTCGGGGCGTTCACCTAAGGAATGCCAATTCAGGAACGAGGCCCCCTTTTGCCCCTGAGAGTTAAACTTCGATCTCCCATGGAAAACCTCGGGAAGACCTGAGGCAAAGTGTACATAGATCAAGGAGCACCAAGCCCCTCTCAAACGACCAGGGCTCCTTCTACAGCGCCCCGACTGCACGTGCACAGGAGGGGCTCGGCCACGAGACGCCTCTCCCACCAGAAGCCCAACCCTGCAATCGCAGAATCCCCGCCGGCTCTTGGTCTTGAAGCCTCCAGCTCTCTGGTCGTGGGACCACTCGAGGCCCAAGGAACCCAAGGTGCAGCGTGGAGAGAGCAGGATGCTCCAAGGCATGGGCTCCCACTGCACGGCAGGCTGGGGCCGTGCAGACTTCGGCGCTGCTTTCTTGCACCGAAGGGACCGTTCAGCCTTGAAGCATCGGCCGTCTCCGAAACGTGAGAAAGAGGAGGAGGAGGAGGAGAAAGAGGAGGAGGAGGAATGGGAGGAGGAGGAGGAGGAGGAGGAGGAGGAGGAGGACAAGGAGGAGGAGGAGGACAAGGAGAAGGAGGAACTCAGGATGCTTTCGGCGAGGCTCTCCGGCGAATGCATGTATTGCCCGCCCCTGGCTATTCGCCCCTCGTCGTCACCGCCAGGGAGGCCGTGAGCGCGAGGGCGCCGTCGGGCGAGAGCGCGGCGGCGTGGAGCGGGCCCTCGTGGCCTCGGGCGGGGGGGCAAGACGTCGGAGGGCCGGGCGAGGCTCGGGCGGGGAGAGAGCACGCAGACACAACGAGCCGTGGCCTCCCGGGACAATGTGGGAAAGTATGGGCAGTGGGTTGGCAGACGAAGGTCCCGAAGATCTGGAAGAAGATGGGGAGTCCTGGAAAACATGAAGAACTAGAAGGGAGGAGAATGTGTGGAAACCTATGGGGGATTTGTGTGTGTATTTAGGTGTGCGTCCCTGGGCCCCTTGCGAGAGACCACGGCGGCCCTCCCTGGCTCTCGCCGTCGGCCCTGGGGGCTCCTCCTGGAGGCCTCCCCGTCGTCGCGGCCCGGTCGCGCGTGGAAGCAAAAACGAGCCAGGGAGGGGCCCCGGGAGGGGTCGCGGGATCGATTGGGAGCGGATGTTGGGGGGCAAGAGTGCCGACGCCAACGGAAAACGAGCCCGGGAGGGGAGGAGTCCCGGGAGGGGTCGCGGGATCGATTGTGAGCGGATGTTGGGGGCAAGAATGCCGACGCCAACGGAAAACGAGCCAGGATGGACCCCGGGAGGGATCGCGGGATCGATTGGAAGCGGACGTTGGGGCAAAAGTGCCGACACCAATGGAAAACGAGCCAGGATGGACCCCGGGAGGGGTCGCGGGATCGATTGTGAGCGGATTTTGGGTAAGAATGCCGACACCAATGGAAAACGAGCCAGGATGGACCCCGGGAGGGGTCGCGGGATCGATTATGAGCGGATTTAGTGGCAAGAATGCTGACACCAACTTTTTCTAACAGAAACCAGTGTTCATCTCATCGAGCAGGCCGCAGTTTGCCAATGTGGGCGTTCGTTCGGATTGACTCGCAATTCCCCGCGTCGAACGCCCCGAACTTTGAATTGGGGGCCAGGGGGTTGTGCTCGCTTCAACACGCAGCAGAGATGGGCGTTTTTTCGAAAACCACGGCATCTCCTTGTTTCGATCCCTGGCGACATGCCTTGTTCAGTCAGCGGGCTTTGTGCTCCTACACCTCGGCCCCCGGGGGCCCTTGGCCCTTGCGGGGCTCCAGGACAGTCCAAGACTGCTCGGGGACGGAAAACTACCCCCCCAGGGAATGGACCAGGACCCCTGAGGCCTCGGATGGGGAAACTCAGATCGGCGATCAGGGTCGTGCTCTGCCTTCGCCGGCTTCCGCGGGCCTGCCGCTGGCGGGGCCGTGCCCTGGGTGGCTCCCACCTCCTCCAACTCACGGCGGGAGGCTCTCCTCCGTTGTCGAACTCCGATGGCCCTCGCGGGACCGTCGAATCACGGCCGGGGACGAACAGATCCTGGGGGAGGGGTTCAGACCTCTGGGGTTGACGTTGTGACCAAACAAGCGCCACGTCGGGGCTCGGGCCACAGGGGGGGGCATACACACTCTACTGCCGCCAACATCCGCGGACCTTCCGCTGGCGGGGGTCGTCCTTGTTTCCTCGTCCTCGTCGTCGTCGTCGTCCTCCTCCTCCTCCTCCTCGTCCTCCTCGTCCTCGTCGTCGTCGTCGTCGTCGTCCTCGTCCTTGTCGTCGTCGTCGTCGTCGACCTTCTCCAAGGGAAGAAAATGGCAACTCCCCTTCGATGCCTCGGAGGCCGAGACCTCTCTGGACGAGGGCGAAGAACGGTGCGGGACAGGCTCGGGAGGGGCGATCGAGCTTGAATCGGCGATGCATCGCCGATAGATCGGCGACGTGGCCGTCGTGCTGTCATCGGGAGCGACGGGTGAGAGACGGAGGGGCTTTGCTGGCCACGGCTAGCCTCGGCCTCGAGCTCCCCGACCGACGTGCCAACGGCCCTAACAAAAAAACAGAGCCCCATCCTGAGCCCGAAGCAGTCCGCGAGCTCTCGGGCCCCCCTGTGGGCGATGAGCTGGTTGTGCCGGAGTCGACGCACGCGCCCCTGAGCCGATCCGATCCTCCCCGAACTGAGCCCCTGAAGAGGCTGGAGCGACAACGCCGGCATGCAGCGCGGCGGGATCAGACTCCACGAGGGGAGCTCGGCGAGGGTGCGGGGCCGCGCTGGACACCGGACGCGAAGCCTCTTCTGGGCGGGGGCGGGGGCCGGCCCGCGAACGCGGCCAAGGATGGGCCGAAGAGGAAGGGATGCGAGGGTGCTTTTGGCACCCTTCGGTGCAGGTTGGCTCGGGAAGGCGCCAGCTGTGCACCCAGACCTCCACCTCCTTGAGGAACGAGCAGCACACACACCCATAGTTACGCATCAGGGGGGGACGGAGGGGGCTGTGCGCGCGTGATGATCCGATGGGGATCCCCGCTCGAAAGGGAGCCTCCCCAGGGCCCGACAACTCGCACCCATACCCATAGCCAGTCATCCTCCTTCCGAATCCCCTATGGGTATATTGGCGGCGGGGGGGAAGTGAGAAGGGGCGGGCCTTCTCAGAAGGCTCGGAAATCCCCAGGCCTTCTGAGAACACCTCCCAGAGGGCGCGAGGTCTTCTGAGAAGTCCCGCCGCCTTCTGAGAAGGCCTTCTCCTTCTCACTTCTCGCCCCGCGCTCGCCGCCGAGTATGGGTGTGTGTTGTTCGTTCGTCACCTCCTCGCGTCGTGAAACAAAAAACAAGACTGGAGGCTCTTGCCCGTTTTCGGTCGCCAACGGCCCCTCACCGGGCCTCATGGCCGTCAGAGAGCAGCTCGGGGTGAACAGCGGGTCTGGGGGAGGATGTCCAAACAGCCATGCCATGGGAAAGGCAAGGGGAACAACAACAACAACAACAACAACAACAACAACAACAACAACAACAACAACAACAACAACAACAATTACTAGCACGTGGGGACACTCCGTTCTCACCAGTGCCAGGGTTTTCATAGGAGGCGGGCAATACCCCCACTTTGTGGGGGGGCCGGTTCAAGCTCTACCAAATTTCCAAACGACTCTTCGCCACCACCCACACCCAGCTTCCCGCCCTATGACGTTCGGACACTTCACTTCGTGGCATGCGGACGACCGTGGCTACTATTCAGGGCCCCGCGGCCGACGACGACGGCGTGCGCGCGCGAAGAAAAAACGAATGTGTCCCGCATGGTATTATTTGACAGGGATGATGGCCCTGGCAGGTGCGCAACCGTTGTTGCAGAAGTTCGAAAAAGTTGCTCGCAAAAGCCCGTTTGACAGAAATGTTTAAAAAGTGTTGGGTTTCCTACGAATCCGCAAGAGCGCGCGGGATGAAATTTTGACATTTTTTTTGAAAAACCATTGGTTTTTTGATGTTTTTATGTTAAAATCGCTACGAAAACTAAGGTTTTGGAAGGATTTCGTCTTGCGCGCGCGAATGTCCACTTTACCTTATTTTTTGCAAGGGATTCTTGAAGTTTGGTTATGTTAGAACAAGAAATGTCCACTTTAGTTTTTTTTTGCAAGGGAAAGCGGGCCGTAACAAAACAACCGGATCCGGACCAACCCGTTTTGCCTGAGACTTCCTCACGAAAATGATGAAAATGTGGCTGCGGCCTAGGCGCGGCGGGGGGGCCATGCACCAGGGGCCCCAACAATAATTATTCTTTAGAAGTAATAATGTTCAACAACAATCATTTTAAGCTGTTCGCCTTTATCTGCTCGAATGTCCAATAACGCGTATTTCCCAAACCCTCGATACCCGCCCTCTCCGTCTTCGATCGAACCCCTTTTGGGGGGTATACCTTTCTGCAGGCCGGGCCCCGGCAAGCGGCGGGGCGGCCGCGGACCGTCGGCCTGGCTGGCCAGCGGCAGCGCTGATCGGCGGGGCGGCCGCGGACCGTCGACCCGACCCCCAGAGGGACGGACAGGGGACCGACCACGACGAGGACGACGACGACGACGTCGACGACGACGGCGACGACGACGACGACGACGACGACGACGACGACGACGAAGCGAGAGCGAGAGAGAACGACAGCAGGGCCACGAAGGACACGAAGTAGGCCACGAAGGGCGACAGCGGGGACACGAAGGGAATGCGTATGGGGCCACGGAAAGCGCGAACGAGCGGGGGCCACGAAAGGCAGATAATGCGGGGCCACAGAAGGCAACGATGGGGCCACTGAAGCTAGCAATTGGGCCACGTAGGACAGTGAGGGGGCCACACACGGCGACAGCGGGGCCACGAAGGGCATGCACATGGGGCAACCACGGGCGCGAACGAGCGGGGGCCACGAAGGGCATACATATATGGGGCCACGAAGGGCAGCGAGGGGGCCACGAAGGGCCGCAACGGGGCCACGAAGGGCAGCGAGGGGGCCACGAAGGGCTGCAACGGGGCCACGAAGGGCTGCGAGGGGGCCACGAAGGGCCGCAACGGCGACAGCGGGGCCACGAAGGGCATGCACATGGGGCCCAAACCGGCGCGAACGAGCTGGGGCCACGAAAGGCAGATAATGCGGGGCCACAGAAGGCAACGATGGGCCACTGAAGGTAGCAATTGGGCCACGTAGGACAGTGAGGGGGCCACACACGGCGACAGCGGGGCCACGAAGGGCATGCACATGGGGCAACCACGGGCGCGAACGAGCGGGGGCCACGAAGGGCATACACATATGGGGCCACGAAGGGCAGCGAGGGGGCCACGAAGGGCCGCAACGGGGCCACGAAGGGCAGCGAGGAGGCCACGAGGGGCTGCAACGGGGCCACGAAGGGCAGCGAGGGGGCCACGAAGGGCCGCAACGGCGACAGCGGGGCCACGAAGGGCATGCACATGGGGCCAAAAGCGGCGCGAACGAGCGGGGGCCACGAAGGGCATATGTATATTGGGCCGCGGAGGGCAAAAACGGGGCCACTGAGGGCAGCAACGGGGCCACGAAGGGCAGCGAGGGGGCCACGAAGGGCGACAGCGGGGCCACGAAGGGCATGCATATGGGGCAACCACGGGCGCGAACGAGCGGGGGCCACGAAGGGCATACATATATGGGGCCACGAAGGGCAGCGAGGGGGCCACGAAGGGCCGCAACGGGGCCACGAAGGGCAGCGAGGGGGCCACGAAGGGTTGCAACGGGGCC